AATAAACTGTAAAAATTGCAAGCTAGAGTAGTAATAGTTTTTTAAATAAATTTAAAGATTATTTTTTTTCAAAATTTATTCAAAGCTGGTTACTGCTCTTTATAGTTTTTAAATATTTAACTTTAAACATCTAAGTAATAAAAACTTATAAAGATGATTGATTGCTTAAAGATTATTATATAAATTAAAACTAATTAATTTTCCAACTAAATTAAATAGAAAATTATCCAATTAAAACTTATTTGAAAGAAGAGAAAAAAGAGAATTAACATATATTATTTAATATTTTGACTTGTTTTTCTTAATTTACAACTTGTCGATTCTAAACTTCAAGACTTTACCGCAAAAGCCTCCTACGTGCTTATGGAAAGGTCACCCCCCACGCCCACGCTCCACCCAACCTTTGAATTTTCTTGTTCAACCTCGACCTTCTGTTCAACCAACAGCAATGTTCGATGTAAGTGGCAAGCATTATTTCAGATTTTCTAAAGAAAGATTTTAATTTCTTTTAGAGCCATATGAGTTAGATCTTTAAACTTGCGCTACGTTTTTGTATCTTCAACTTTCGGAATCTACAAATCCTTTTCTTATGACTGCATCATATACTAGATAAAGTATTTCCAAACTGTACTGTTTCTCACTGATCCAGGTGTTGCCGCGGCAAGTAGAATCTGACGGGTGCAACAATCAAGAAGAATCATACGAATCCAACTGTCGACCAGAAAATCGCATTCCAACGCTAACACCCTATGTTACCTCCAGATTCCTCAACGGTTCTCAGGAGCCTCGCGCAATGACATATCACGGCGGTGCACCTTTCGAATCACCTATGCCCTATACATCTTCGCAGATGTCCACAGAAAACAATCCTAGTATGATGCCTAGCATGATGTCGGATCAACCTATCTTCTTTCCTTCAGAAGAAACTTACAGAGAAATGGTAAGTACTAAACTAGATATGAATTAAGTAATAATCATATGGTCCTACATTGTTATTGAGATAATACGAGCGATATTGCCCGATATCCCAATGGTACGATTCTTGGAAAGCGATAAAAACCTTAATCCAACATCAAAAGATTCCTATGTGCGCGCAATTCTATTGTTTCTCTAAAAAATTTCTATGATGATGTTCTGTAAGGTCTTCTTTATAGACAGTTCGACAGTTCAATTAGGAAGAGCTACATAATATTTGATTTCACGTACAGATTTACCTTTATATCCGCGATAACCTCATTAAGGAAATTGGATCAAGCAAGCTTAAAAATCAAACGTCTAAAGTCTAAAGTATATTTAAAACTTTGTACAGAGCACTCGTGTGCCTTTAATGGAAATATTCTTAGGTATTATTTGTTCAAAAAAAAAAAAAAATAAAAACAATTATTCATAAAAACCTTTTACATTGTTCTCCCTCCAGTCCTCTAATTAGCATCTAGTTCAATTCATTTATAGCCTATATATAGCATATATAGATATTACCTCTGAAGCATTGCGTTGCGTTTGGAATCTTTTGATGCGAACGAGACAAAACATTAGCTGTGCGCTTAACGGCTAAAAGCGTACAGCAAAAAATTAAAAATGGACAATAATCGCAAATTTGTGTTGGAAGAGACCATCGATTACATATTAATAAATGACACTAAAAAAATTCAAATTCTAATTTTGAAGAGAAAATTAATTCTGAGAAAGACATTAAGATATCTAAATATATATCATAAAATGCAGTTTTTCACGAATAATAAATATTAAATTATTTTTTTTGCAGGAAGGAAGACATCATAAAAAACAGTATTTTCCTGTGAACCTTTCAGTGCAATTCCCTATCGTATATCCAGGATCCGGCAATTCTCCTAAATATTATGAACCCGTATATCAACCTTCATATACCAATCCCTCACCCACTTACGCCTACCCAACTTCTTATCAAGTCTACGGAAATTACGGAACCCCTTATCCGGCGGGCTATGGCTCTCAAACTTCAGCAAGTGTACCGGCAATCACCGTAAATACGGGTGGACCATTTTATCGCGAATCGCAACACGTTGACTCATTGTCTCAATTCAATGAAATGAAAATGCTACCAGGAGAAGCGTATTCGACTGCTACCGAAATAACTGATGCCCCCAACAACCAAAAGCGAGAGTTTGACGTCACTCAGTTGAAGAGCGAGCATGAAGAAATTACACAGAAAGAGAAGTAAAACATCATCAAGGAGACAATCCTTGAGGATTCAAATGCGCAAACACGTCTAAATAATTTGTCAATTTAGCTAACAA